TTTTTTTAATTAATTTATTTATTTTGTGTGTGTGTGGCCAGCTCAGCCCACCAGGGGGCGGGGCTGGCTGGCATGTGGTGCTGGGGGATTGAACCGCGGTCCCTGTGCTTTGTTTAGCTTAGCTTGTTCTAAGTAGGTGCTTTAGACCACTGAGCCATCTCACCAGCCCCGAAATAAGTAACTTTTTAAAAGCTAGAGCCAGGTATGGTGCCACACACCTGTAATCCCAGCCCTTGGAAGGCTGAGGCAGGAGGACCATTGTGAGTCCAAGATCAGCCTGGATTCCAAATAAGCTCCAGGCCCACCTGAACTGCATAGTGAGAGCCTGTCTCAAAAAGAAAGAAAGGATCTGGTGAGATAGCTCAGCAGACTAAGTGCCTGCATAGGCAAGCTCAGGGATCGCAGCATGATCCCCGGCACCACATGCTACACTAGTCCCACTGGCTGGCCACCAAGACCAGGCATGGTGGCGCATACCTATAATCCCAGTGCTGGGGATGCTGAAAACAGGAGGATCACTATGAGTCTGAGCTGCATAGTGAGCCCTGTACCAAATACCGAAAAAAGAAAAAAGAAAAGAGAAAGGAAAAAAAAAATAATCTGTACTTTTTCCAGCACTGGGAGGCTGAGGCAGGAGGATTGCTATGAGTTTGAGGCCAGCCCATGATATACAATGAATTCAAAGAACAAAAAAAGGTATATTTCTGTAATGAGATTTATTTCATAAAACATGAATTTAAATGAAAATAATGTTGAATACATTTAACAGTCAAGGTAATAGAGTGCTGAGGGTCAAAATGCATGATTTTTCCTAATCTGTATCTGTGGGTATTTGTATTACTAAAATGTGTTTTGTTTTGTTTTTGTGCTACAGGAAATTGAACCAAGAATGTTCACACTGAGCTACATTCCCAGCCCTTTTTAATTTTTTTATTTTGAGGCAGATCTCAGTAAGTCCATAAAATGCCCAGGCTGAGCCTGAATTTGTCATCCATCTCAGCCTCCCTTCCAGCGTGCTGGAATTACAGGCACACAACACCATGGCACAACTTTGTTAAATGTTTAAAATCTTTTTTAAGTGGTTCACTTTCTAAGATAATGTATTTTCACTTTTTTTTTTGTGGAACCCGGGGATTGAACTCATGCCCTTGCGCTTGCCAAGGAAGCGCTTATTCCACTGAGCCATCTCCCCCGGCCCTGTATTTTCACTTTAAATCAATTTTTTTTCTGTGTTTCACTCAGTAGGAGTACATTACCATAAATATATTTTCTCCTATATTGCTGAGGATAAACCTATGGCTGTTTTGTGTTTTGTTTTTTTTTTTTAAACCTATGACTGTTTGCCATGCTAATTTTTTTTAACTTAATCTTGTTGCCATACTGAAAGATTGAACCCAACCTTGAAGGGTGCTCTCCCACTGAGCTACTTCCTTAGCATTTTTTTTTTTTTTTTTTTGGAGACAGGATCTCACTAATTGCCCAGATGGGACACACCTGTAACATGAGCTCTTGGGAGGCAAGTCACGAGTTTGAGGTCAAAGAAAAGTTTAAATGTACCAAAGTGTGTGTGTGGACTAGACTTCTGCTCTTTTGTCATTGAATTTCCTCAACGATATAGTATAGAGGTTGATTTAAAGTATATATGAAATTATGCAAATACTGCCACATTTTATATAAGAGCCTGAGCAACTGGAATTTGGTTATCTGGTTTGGGGAGGCGGGTTTGCCTTGGAACCAGTCTCTGGCTCACACTGAGAGATGATTGTTTAACCTCCATTTGCCTGTTGTCCAGTCCCAGCAACATTCAGCTCATAACCAATCTTGTTTACTGATCATCCCTCTCTTAAGTAATTTCAAGCCAATCTCAAATGTCCTGTGTATTTTTGGTTTGGTTTTATTTTTGAGGCAGGGTCTTGCTAGCACAGGGTGGTTTTGAACTTACTTTGTATCCTAGGCTGGCCTCCAACTCATGATGATCCTCCAGCTTCAGCCTCCCAAGTGCTGGGATTAGAGGTGTGCATAAACGTGCCCGCCCATCATATGTCTTCACCTGTAAATGTTTTAGACTATCTCCCTAAAATAAAGGCTTTTTTTTTGAGGGGGAGCTGCTCAGGATGCCTTCAGGGCAGGTTTGGTTTGGCTTGAAGATGAGGGGATCAAACCACAGCATCCTGAGCCTAACTGCTTTGTTTCAGTAGGCACTTAAACACCTGAGCTAATGGGCAGGCCCCCTAAAAGAAAGGCTTAAAAGATACTACAGTACCATTTTCATACCTACACAAATGGAACAATAATTGCTTAACATCCTAAATAGCTAACAGGGATTCACATTTCCCTGTTTATCATATAAATTCTGTGTGTGTGTGTGTGTGTGTGTGTGTGTGTGTGTGTTAGTTCCTGGGGATCAAACCCAGGGCCTTACATATGCTAGGGAAGCATTCTATCAGCAAAACTATCTCCCCAACTTTTTGTTTATTTTGAGAGGATTTTGCTGAGTTTTTCTTGAACTGCACATCTTGTCTCAGCTACCCAAGTGGCATATGGTGGTACAAATACACACCACCATGCCCAACCTTTTTTTTTTTTTAATTTTTTTTATATAGTACTAAGTATCTAAGATCCCTCTCTTGCCAAGCATGCGCTCTACCACTGAACTATACTTCCAACCCCAAAATAATTTTTTTGTTTTTTAAGACAGGGTTTCACGGTGCAGTTCAGGGTAGCCTTGTGCTTACTTTTGTAGCCCCAGGCTGGTCTCAAACTCAGTGATCCTACGACTCAGCCTCTGGAGTGCTGGGTATACAGGTGTGCACCACCACACTTAGTACAAACTAAAATTTAAGGGCTTCTGCCAAGAACAACAACAAAAGTATTAAAAATATATGAGGCCAGCTTGGTGGCACATGCCTGTAATCTCAGCACTCAGGAGGATGAAGCAGGAGGAATGCTTTGAGTTCAAAGCCAACCTGGGCTACATAGTGAGTTTAAGACCAGCTTGAACTACTTAACAAGACACTTGACTCAAAAAAAATAAATTTTAAAAAAATATGAAAAATAGGGGCTGGTGAGATAGCTCAGCGGACTAAGGCACCTGCTTCTGTAAGCTTAGGCAGGCACAGGGTACTGCGGTTTGATCCCTGGCACCACATGCCACGCCAGCCCCACCCTTAGGAAGTGTTGAACTGCCCCCCAAAAATATATATATGAAAAATAAAGATAAGGATATAAAAGCATGTAAATAAAGTGTGTTGTTTACAAGTTTGGATATTAATTGCTTTTACTTTTACATCCTGTCTAGAGTGTTTAACATTCTGACCCTTAAAGACTAATAACTCTAGTATGTTCAGTGAAAAGATAAGTATGAGCGGGGAATCTGGCACATGCCTATGATTCTAGCACTCAAAGAGGCCGAGGCAGAAGGATGGGGAAGGATGAGGCAGAAGCCCAGCCTGGAGAAATTACCCACTTAGTAAAGACCACCTCACCTCAACATTTTAAAAGAGGGCTATGAGGGCCAGCAAGAGAGCTCAACGAGGCAAGCTCAGAGACTGGGGTTCAATCCCCAGTACCACATGCCGCAGTGGTCCTGTCCTTGGGGCGTGCTGAGCCGGCAACAGAGGCCAGGCATGGTGGCACATGCCTGTAATCCCAGCAGCTGGGGAGGCTGAAAACAGGGGGATCACTACAAGTCTAAGTTGCATAGTGAGACTGTGTACCAAAAAATAATAATTAAAAGAAGGCTAGGTAGTTCAATGATAGAATGTCTCTTGGTTCAATCCCTAGTACTCCACCAGAAATAAAAACGTGCTGGGGAGGTAGCTTGGTGCAGAGCCCCTAGGTTCTTCTCCTTGGGGTGGGGGTGGGGAGTCTGAATTTACTCAGACATTGTAAATATATCAAATACTGAAGTTACCAGTCCAACTAGTAACTAGGGTTACATTAACAATGTAGTCCTAAAGAATTTCTTTCTCCTTTTCTTTACTTAAGATTATATTCACCAACTCCTCTTGGATTCTTTGTGCTAATAGACATTGTTGTTCTGAGGTCTCCAGTGATTTGCTCCCACTGTCTGTGACAGATGATCTTCCCAGGATGCAGTTCAAGTGCCCGTACTGCACACACGTGGTGAAGCGGAAGGCTGACCTTAAGCGCCACCTGCGCTGCCACACCGGAGAAAGGCCCTATCCGTGTCAAGCTTGTGGGAAACGGTTCAGCAGGCTGGACCATCTTAGTAGCCATTTCCGAACAGTATGTATTTGATTTTTTTCATCATTTTACTTATTGAGAAATATGTATGGTTTTCTGTTTTAAGATAATCAAATTTACAGAGGGAAGTGTTTTCACGTAAGTCTACCACGAGTCCTTATATTTAATGTTTTTACTTTGTAGGTGTTCACAATTTAGTATACAGAAAACTTTTTGCAGGGGGTATCAGGAATCAAACTCAGGACCTTGTGCTAGCCAAGTAGGCACTTATGCCACTGAGCTTTATCTCCAGCAGCCCTAATTTATACATATATACAGAGACAGTGGTTTTGATTTTCCTTTGATACCTAGAAATAAGAGGTATTCTTTTGGTGCTGAGTAGTTTCTTGTCATTTAATTCCCATCAAATCTAATCTTTGTGTTTGGTCTATGGTGCTGGGGATTGAACACCAGTTCATGTATTCGAGGCAAGTATGCTACCTTTGAACCATATCCCAGCTTTTTCAAACTTTTATTTTAGGGTTTTACTATGTTGCTCAGGCTGCTTAAACTTGCAGTCCTCCTGTCTAGCCTCCTGGTTATATGTGTGTGTCACCATGCCTGCCACAAATGCACAATGGTTGTTTGTTTGTTTGTTTGTCTTTGACTTTTTGAAACAGGATTTTGCGATGCAGTTCAGGCTGGCCTTGAACTCACTTTGTAGCCCAGGCTGGCCTCAAACTGTGGACAGTCCTCCTGCCTCAACCTCCTGAGTGCTGTGATTACAGGCATGTGCCACCACACCAGCCAAAATATTTCTATATGTTGGTCTGTTCCACACCAAAGAGAATGCAAGCTGTATAAATGTCTTATGTATCCAGGTTGGAATCACTATTTTAGATATTCAGCACCTACTAGGGGTTGCCGACTGAATCTTGTGGGACAGGATCTAGTGTGGTTGTTGCCCTCCAACCGCTTTCCACTACATTTGCTTTCTAGTCTCTGCTCATTCTTTTGCAGCTCCTCAAGGGAAAGAGGCAGGTGAACCACAGAGCTGCTCCCAGTCTCCCTGGCCAGGTTGGCTGTCAGCAGTCACAGTCATTTCAGGGAATCTGTTTTTTAATGTGCTGGTAGTTTAATAAAATAGTGACATTGGAATTGTTCTGCTGCCGTGTGTTGGCATATGCCTGTAATCCTAGCTCTTGCGAGCCTGAAATAGGAGGATCGTTGAGAGTTGGAGGCTAGCCTGGGCTATGTAGAGAGTTCAAGGCCAGCCTGAGCTACGTAGTGAAACCCTGTCTCAAAAAAAGAAATAAATGAGAAACAACAAAAAGGAATTGTTCAACTGTTCATCATGCAGCAAAATTTTTTTGTAAAATTTGTGTTCTGTTACCTGTATTTCATGCATGCTAGGCAAGCGCTCTACCACTTATAGGCATTCTTTGTAATTCATTGGACAGTGTGTCACTTAAGGTGATACCTTCATGCACTGCTTTCTGTTTATTCACCAGTGGTACATATTGAGCATTTACTGTGTGGCAGATGTTAGGTACAACAGTGAGAAAAAGGAGAGATAGCTCTGCCTTCATTAATTTAATAAAGCTATTATTTTTAAAAATTAGAAACTTTTATATATCTTTAATAAATACTATATTTTATCAAAAAGGATAAAAACCTTTATCATTTTAAAACAATAAATATGTATGGCTAAAAATAGAAAATAGCCAGACATGGTGTACACATCTGTAATGCGGGTACCCAAGAGTTTGAGGCGGGCTGGCCAGATAGCTCAGTGGTCTAAAGTGCCTGCTTAGGCAGGTGTAGGCAAAGCACAGGATCGTGGTTTGATCCCCAGCACCACATGCCATGCCAGCCCTGCCCCCAGGGAGGGCTGAGCCTGTCGCCAAAAAAAAGAAGAAAAAGTTTGAGACGAAGTGCAAATAATTTTCTTTTATTTTTGCAAGTAATTTCTGTTTTTCTTTTTTTTTTTCTTCAAATGTATTTAGTACAGGGTCTCACTACACAGATCAGACTCACAGTGATCCCTTCCATTTTCAACCTCCCAAGCACTGGGATTACCAGCACGCCACCACACCCAGTCTTGCAAGAAATTTCTAAGAGGCTTAAAATGTTTATGTGTAGAGGCATACCTGCACAAAAAGCATAAACTGGTTGTTGTTTTGCTTTTTTCTTATTTTTCTATTGTTGGCATTTTCTATACAAATAATAGAGCAAACAGCTGCATAGTTATAGAATTATATATTAATGGCAAGTTTTTTTGAAAACCGGAAAGTACCTAAAAGAGAAACATTTAAAAAAAAAAAAAAAGGCTGGCCAGATAGCTCAGCAGATTAATAAAACACTTGCTGGGGTGGGGAATTAGATCTTTGGAAGCCCCGCCCCTGGGGCACACTCAGATGACCATTGAGACTGGGTGTAGTGGCCCATGCCTGTAATCCCAGCACTTGGGAGGCTGAAAACAGGAGAATCACTATGAACCTGAACTGTGTAATGAGACTCTGTAGGCCCTGTACTAAATACATTTTTTAAAAAAGTTCCAGTGTGCACTGCCACACCTGGCTGGAGGTATTATTTTTTTCTGTACTATATCAGTGGATAGAGCTAGATGATATCAACATGAAAAATGATATCAACATGAAAAATATCAACATGAAATATATATATTTTAATTTTAACATGTTTCACTTGTTTGACTTTAGAATTAGAATTAGAATTAGAGTGATGGGCAAAAATTTCTGTCAAAACTTTATAAGAAGGGGCCTGGCCCTAGCTCAGTTCTTTAAGTGGCTGCTTCCACAAAGCTGTCAGCCTCAGGTTGCTGTAGTTCGATCCCCACAACACTCCAGCCAGCCAACAGTGCCCTGAAGGCATTCGAGGAGAAAAAAAAAAAAAAAATCCTTAAAACTTTATAAGAAAAACAGGTATTAGGGGCGGGGGAGATGGCTCAATGGAATAAGCGCTTCCCTGCAAGCTCAAGGGTCTGAGTTCATTCCCCGGTTCCACCAAAAAAAAAAAAAAGTGCAGATAGTCCAGAAAAACAGGTATTTCCTTTCTGCTGCAGTCTTCAGCGTTCTCTGGGGCTTTTCAGAGGAACGGAGACAAGACATATTAGGGACAAAAGCACAGTAGAAAATGGTAGCGGCAACCCCCCTAAAACAAACAAACCCACAAAAACAAATTCCCTGGATCCATCCATGGTTGCAATGGGCTCACCTCTCGTCTTTCCAGTTTTGTTAACCATTAATAAGTAAAAGCCAGGGGCTGGTGAGATGGCTTAGTGGTCTAAAGCACCTACTTAGAACAAGCTTAGCACAGGGACTGCATTTCAATCCCCCAGCACCACATGCTAGCCAGCCCCGCCCCCAGGTGGGCTGAGCTGGCCACACACACACACACACACACAATAAATAAAAAATAAACTTAAAAAAAAAAAAAAGTAAAAGCCAAAATAAATAAACAGAAACCAGGTGCTATATGTGATGTTCAAAATATCTTGAGCTGGGCATGGTGGTTCACTCCTATAATCTCAGCACTCATGAGGCTGAGGCAGGAGGATCATTGCAGGTTTGAGGCCAGACTGGACTATAAAGTGAGTTGAAGGCCAACCTGAAGTGCATAGTTTAATCCTGTCTCAAAAGGCAAAAAAAATCTCCAGAAAGTAAGAATTCATTTAAATTGTATTTACTGATTAATATGTCAACAGCTAAGTAGAATAATTCTTCTGAATAGTGTTTCATACATTTTCTTAAATATTATACCAGACTATATTAGTTTTCTGAGATGTTTCTGCTATGTTTTGTGACCTGCTTCTATACTGTCCTATTTTATCTAAGTGAATATTCCATAAACTTTAACCTAGCAATATGTAATTATATTTTTTTAGATTAGGTCCCATAATCTATCACTCTAACAGCTATTGAACCAAGTTGGTTATTACTAACTGTGACAATATATATTACAACTTCTTAACCAAAAAGTTCACATCTATTAACTCCTTTGTTCCTTCCATCAAGTCTGTGGAGCAGTATTCCATTAGTGATAGGGGAGCAGGCAAAGAGAGTAATAGGCTAATGTGTAAAAGGACCACCATATAGGACCAGGAATATAGCTCAGTGGCACAAGCACCTTCCTGGCAAGCACAAGGTCCTGAGTTTGATTCCCTGAGAGAGAGAGAGAGAGACAGACAGACAGACAGACAGACAGACAGACAGAGCAAGAGCACAAGCAAGCGAGCTATACAATTTGTTATCCCAGGGTTCATTTGGATGGTCAACTTGCTGCTGTTCTGGATGGTGCTCCTGTCATACCAGTTAAATATTTTAGCCATCACCTTGAAAGCAAGATTATAGTGTTTAAAATTACTTGCTCTAAGATACGTAGTAGTAAATGGCAAAGATAGTGAGTGGCAAAACCAGGACTAGAACTCAAGCCTTCCAATTTCCAGTGTGGTTCTTCCTAGCATTTTTTTTATTAATTAAAAATTAACGCATATGAAACCAAAGAGGGCTGGGGATATAGCTCAGCTGTATAAGTGCCTGCCTAGCAAGCACAGACTTCCAAGTTCAATCTCTGGTACCACAAAAAAGTTTTTGTCCACAAAAAAAGTTGTCTAATTTCTCAGTAAAATTAGACAACAGTCCTTAGAATGGTATATGACATCTAGTCAATGTTTGCAGTTATTATTCTGGGAAAGTATCCCTTTGTTACCTCAGATATTAAAGTATTACTGGATTAAGGGATACATAAAATTGTAGCCATTAATATAATTATTATTATTATTTTTTTTTTTTGCGGAACCAGGGATTGAACTCAGACCCTTGCGCTTGCCAGGGAAGCGCTTATTCCACTGAGCCATCTCCCCGGCCCCTAGCCATTATTTACAGAAGGGTAACATTTACTATTTCTGGGGTGGCAATTCGCCACCAAAGCCTATGATTTTTTTTCTCTAATAATGTAATAATACTTTCAGGGTCTTTTGTTGTTGTTGTTGGTACTGGGAGTCGAACTCAGGGCCTTGCACTTGCCAGGCAAGTGCTGCACTGCTGAGCTACACTGTGGGCCCAGTAATTTGAGTTTAATGCATGGCTCTGAACATCTTAAGTTTAAGAACTGATACCTAAGATATCCAACTGTCCTGCTGTTGAAAAATTACGTTTTACCACTATTAAATCTCTACGCAGATTCACCAGGCATGCAAACTGATCTGCAGAAAATGCAAACGCCATGTGACTGACTTAACAGGGCAAGTGGTACAGGAAGGAACCAGGCGCTACAGACTGTGCAATGAGTGCCTTGCTGAGGTTGGCGTAGACAGCCTCCCCATTGATCTGGAAGCCGAGCAGCATCTCATGTCCCCCGCAGACGGAGACAAGGACTCTCGGTGGCACTTGAGTGAAGATGAGAATAGATCCTATGTGGAGATTGTGGAGGACGGGTCTGCCGACCTCGTCATACAACAGGTTGACGATAGTGAAGAAGAAGAAGAAAAGGAAATGAAGCCCAACATTAGGTAGCTGGATGTGCCGACAGCGCTGGCGTGGCTGCGGTTTATAATGACTTCCTGTATTTCTCTTTCCGTGGTCAAAGTTTGGTGGACAGATGTATCCTACTGACTTAAAACCTGAGCTATGTACCTTGCATGCTTTCTGCGCAGGCCATTGTACCCATTTTGAACGTGGTCGCCCTAATGTCTGTTGCTGCAGTGGAGAGGCATGGCTTGCGCTGGCACGATGACGAACACTTATCCTCTTACTTTGTTGCAGAGACACCCTTTTCCTTTTAATATCAAAAGATCTACTTAGCAAACATTTTTCATAGAAAATATTTTAAATAAATTGATCACAACCAAACTTTACGTAAGGTAATTTTAAGGTGTTTCAAAACTACATACCCAGGGGCCGGGAAGATGGCTCAGTAGAATAAGTGCTTGCCTGGCAAGTGCAAGGGACTGAGTTCAATCCCTGGTTTCACCAAAAAAAAGACAAACACAAAACTATGTACCCTACCAATACTGAATTTCACTGGAAACCAGGTAAGAGCACATTTAAAGGTCAGGCAACTCACCTGCCTGAAATAGTAAATCTTTCTATTAATATATTAATTTCAGATCTGAAAAAACTATCATTATTCTCATATACTAAATGGTTTAGGATTATGGCTGAAGACTAAAATAATTGAAATTGTTGCTATTGGAAATTTTTGTCAATAATTATTGAAGGCTGGGAATATAGCTCAGTAGCAGAGCCTGCCTGGTAAGTATGAGGTGGTGAGTTCGATTCCCAGTACCCCCCCCAAAATTTTTTGAGACAGCATCTCACTATATAACTAAGGTTAGCTTTATTTATTTACTTTATTTATTTTTTTCTTTTTTTAGGTTAGCTTTAATTAAACTCACTAGTATAACCCAGGCTGGCCTTAAAGTCAAAGTGATCCTTCTGCTTCAGCCTCCCAAGTGCTAGGGTTACAGGCAGCAAAATTATTCTTCGTACTGTAAAAAAAAAAAAATTAAAAGGTTGACCACAGAATGTGTGTAGACTTTTTTCTGGTTGGTATTTGACATGAAGTCTACAACTACGGTACCTTTGAGCTACATCCCCATGCCATTTTTATTTTTTATTTTGAGATAGTCTCATTAACTTGTTAAATTTCCAGGCTGTGTTCCAGTTTGTGACCCTCCTGCCTCAGCCTATCAGAGTGCTGGGATTATAGGTATGAGACACCATTCCTGGCTCAGACATCATTTTTTTTTTAAAACAGAAAAGGTATACTGTATTGGCTAAAAGTCCAGGAAGTGTACAAAGAGGACCTGTCAATTTAGTCGTCTTCCTCTTTAAAAGAAAAAGGTGGGGGGAGGGCTGAGGAGATGGCTCAGTGGAATAAGCGCTTCCCTGGCAAGCTCAAGGGCCTGAGTTCGATCCCCGGTTCCACCAAAAAAAAAAAA